AAAAAAAATGCAAAAAATGTTTTAAATATTTTTAATAGAACTGCAAATAATCTAAAAAAAAATTCCAAAAATTAAATACAATTATCTACAACCTCACATGTAAATGTAAATGACATTTTAACAGCAAAGACGAAATATATATGCAAGAATTACAAAAAAGGTAAAGGCCATAAGGCGTCAATGGTGTTGAAGAATTTGGTGCTGCGACGCTGGCCACTTCTAAAGACGAATTGTCCGGCCTGCGCAATACAGGTAGCGGAACACTTGATATCCAACGAATTCTGCTTACAAACATACATATATGTAAATATATATGTACTATATATCCATACATAACGTATATCTGCAAGTATGTACATTGGATAGCGAAACTAACCAAAAACCTGATATATAACTAGAAGAGTTTGTATATACATGCATATGCACATATTTTCAAGAAGAATTTAAGCAGCAAGAAGTTTAGTTTGTTGCTAGTCCGACAGGCTTGCCTTAAAGTAGTTATCTATATGTAATTATATATGTATGTTTAACAAACGAATTAAGACCTGTCTGCTGCGTGGCTTTTGCATTTTTTACGTATCGAACCCTTTATACCCAGTCTTAAGGTATCTTTATGCCCACATAAAAGCTGGTAAAATTTGCATAAGAAAATGTTCAGGTTTTTTATTGACTGCCACTTGCATTATTTATTTCAGTCTTCATACCTCTTTCTGCCTCACTAAAGTTATGGACTGGAACTTCTTAAAGCCATGAACTTGTTGCTACAAAAAATTGCTTCACTCACAGCTTTTTTTTCTGATTTGTGCCATGAACGGCGAATGGCTAAAAAATTTAAACGAGCCTGTAAAACCAGTTTTAATGTGCGCACACATACCTATGTATATGTTCTTACATATATTTGAGTATAGGTGTGCATGGATAAAGGTGAAGAGCAGAGCGCACCTCGAATTTCACATGGAAACAGAATATTTTAGCAGTGTAGGGTAGAAGAATGAAGAGTACGAAGAAGAAGCAGAAGCAGAAGACGCCGGCGAAACAACGAACCAGCAAACCATCGAATCAGTGAAGCACTTCAATTAACTGCTCAAACGAATGCATGGCGAAGACAAAAGACTATAGCAAATACTGTATAATGCATGCATGCGCACGTACACGCACACATATATACAAATAAACACACACACACATATGTATATATATACAATGTCGCTCTGTATATTTAAGTGCCGCCAATGAAGCCGAATTGCTTGGTATACTATAATTTGGGCAGAGCGGGAGCAGTAGTTTGAAACTAAAAGTTGCAGTTGCAACAAACCATCACTACTGCCGCGTAGCAAGCTGCTGCTGGTATTTGCAACCACACACATACAGACACCCAGTTGGCTTTATGCGTACAAGAAGGTGCAGCGCATGAGTAAGTCGGTAGGTAATTTTGGATAGGGTTCACTGCGCCAAAACAGCGGCAACACACAGGCAGCCAGCCATCATTTCTATGAAGAAACGTCAGCACTATTATGCGCATGCGCGGCGGCGATTATTGCAGCGCATTAGTGCTTGCAAGTTTCGCCATAAACACCATTGAGAAGGGGTCGTGCAACAACACAAGCATAAGCAGCTGTCCGCTGAAGAGTTCGCTATTCGTTCATGTCAAGCCGGTGGTGGTAACGCAGGAAACACGTATGTGCAGCCGTCACTGACGTGAGAGGCCAAAGTGCACAAGCGCTACCACGAAATTGCAGCATAGCAGTTGTAGGAAAATAATGAATGCAACCCAAAAGGCAAGAAAAGAAAAGCAAAAATTATTTGTATGAAAACTCTTCCAAGGCAGAGCAGAAATTGTTGGTTAAGTTTAGCCGAATAAACGAAAAAATAAATAAAAATAATAATAAA